CTCTCTCTCTCTCTCTCTCTCTCTCTCTCTCTCTCTCTCTCTCTCTCTCTCTCTCTCTCTCTCTCTCTCTCCCCGGGGCAAAAGGAGCTCCCGGGAAAACTCTACCCCCGATTGACTTGAGGTGAGATCGAAAAGTGCTCGCTCAAGTCAATCGTGGGTATGGGCTCGTGGGAGTCAACAATTAAATTGGGGGGGGGAGGTGGTTAAGAGGAGGGGAGATGAAGAAGGCAGTGCTCGTTATCGATGTATGGGCTCGGGGATGCTGAGGGCGGGGGACGCGGGGAGAGAGGGATGGAAAAGCAGGCGGAGGGAGACATCGGGAGGGACAAAACGTCGAGAGGTGGTTGCGACGGGGAGAGAGAGGGATGGAAAAGCAGGCGGAGGGAGACATCGAGAGAGATCGGGAGAGATCGGGAGAGAGAGAATGTCGAGAGATGGTTGCAACGGGGGGAGAGGGATGGGGAAGCAGGCAGAGGGAGAGAGAGAGAACGTTGAGAGATGGAGGGTGCAGGAGTTGGTGGAATACGGAAGTATCGCGGCTGGGAAGTTGCAATGCGAACGTGGTGGACAGACAAAGATCGCAAGAGGAGGAGGAGGAGGAGGAGGAGGAAACGACAACAAGTAAATACTCTTTTCATTTTTATTCTTTTGGTCTTGTCGAGGGGGTAACTTTGGTTTTCTACTGCTTATCTATTCAGGCCGCAAGCTAGGCTACCAGACTGGAGCGGGATCACTTGCCCGGCCGGGCAACAAAAAAATAAAAACGTTTCTATTTTAAATTTGGTATAGAATTTCGATTTGACACTGAGGCAAAAGTTGTTCAGTTTATTTTCTGCATAACATTGTTTTTTTTCAGGTTTTTTGGATTTTTTTTCCTTTCTATTTGGCTGGGACCTTCTTCAGCCCTTGCACGGCCGGGCCGCCCGGGCAAAACAAGGTGACTCCCGCGGCCCGGCTGGTAGCGTAGGCCGCAAGACTTGGCATAACTCCTCTCTCTCTCTCTCTCTCTCTCTCTCTCTCTCTCTCTCTCTCTCTCTCTCTCTCTCTCTCTCTCTCTCTCTCTCTCTTTTCTTTCTTTCTTTTGCATATCCACATTTACCCTATCCCTCTCTCTCTCATCTATTCAGGCCCTTCGTCAATAACCTGCTCTCTCCTTTCCTTACAACCCGTTTCCCTCCCTCCGCGCCGAGCCCCTCTGTCTGCCTCCCAAGATCGTCTTCGCCGACTTGTCCGGATCCCCATCGACGACCTCCATTCCTTACCTGTTGCCTTGGCTTTCTTTCCCCTGCACTTCATYGGTCCCTACATCCTCACCCTGATTCGCTGACATTCCAACCTCCTCTTCCTCTCTACCCCACATCATCCCGATTGCTCCCACCCCTCCCCCCTCCCCCCCGCCTTTTGCCCATCCCCTTCTTCACAAATTGGGGCCCCGACGTACATCCTCCTCCTCCCATTTACGTGAGGATTCTCCTCGACGTCTTCCTCCTCGAAGCAGAGGCAATCTTTCGTTGCGTGCTTCACCCTATCCCGACCAAATCCCGACCCTCCCACCCTTCACCTTGCGTGCTTCACCCTATCCCCACCAAATCCTGACCCTATCCCATCCCTCTGCTTCCTCTTTCGCCTCATTCCCATCCCGACCGATCAAATCCCGACCCTCTCGTCCTCCTAATCCCGCATCCTGCCCCTCCTCCCCCTTCGTCCTTCCCGCTACTCCCATTTCGCCGCTCAAGGGGTTTCGATTGCGACCTCCTCCTCTCCCTGTCCCGCCATTTCTGGGGCAGTTCTCTCACCTTCTCTCCTCCCTGCCTGACCAGGGACCCGACCTCCCCCTACCCGAGAAAGAGAGAGATGGGGGGGTGGAGAGAGAGAGAGAGAGAGAGAGAGAGAGAGAGAGAGAGAGAGAGAGAGAGGGAGGGAGGGAGAGAAAGCACACTTCGCCACGCTGTCCGAACTTACCTCTCTCGTTTCTAACCCGAGTCCGAACGGAACTTTTCGAGCTGCGCGCCCAACTGATGTGGCGCACTATGCGTGCGCGTTCCACACGGCTTCGGAAGACAAATTTTGAGACTCCGCTGCGCGCCGTAAATTTGGGCAAAAGCAACCGACTTGGGGCCAGATCCCACAGGCAAAGAGGATTGGCACCTAATAGGACGGTGCCTCGTTTCTACGCGAAACTACTTTGAGCTTCAAGGGATTTTGGAAGATCAGGATAGACCAGGGGCCAAGTCCCACTAGCAGCGTTGAGCTACCTCAACGCCTGAATGTGCACGCTTTTGCGGCGGAGATATGCAGAAATGGTGTTGAGTTTC